ATCGAATTTATTTGTTATGAAAAAGCATATTATATATTTAAAACTATATATATTCCATATTTTATTCTTTCCTACATCCTTTGAGAACTTTAATATATTGCAATCGAGTTTTTTTTGGGACGTCCTTTTTAAAATTAAAAAAGAAACTGAGTTGGGACGTGTTGACAAAATTAAATAATATACCCCTTTTATATATAAAAGATTGCAAAGCTTATATATTAGTCAACTCTTAAGTGCCCGTTAGGACATAAAATTTGATGGAAGATTTTTTCAAAAAAATTTTACTTTTTTTACGAAAGCAGCGTTTGTTCATAAAATTTCCAATTTTCACTTGAAGATGCATTTTGGTAATTTTCAAAAATTTGAAAAACTGCAAAAAACTGTTTTTCAAATTTTTTTGTTTTTCAAATTTTTCAATCACAAAACTTCAAAAACAACCAAATTGAAATTTATGTCCAAACATAACTCTAAATTTCAAATATCATTTTCACTTGAAATTTTTCTTTACAATTTTTTCGAATTTTACAGTTCTTATGTCCAGACGCCTACTTAGCAGGGGTGGCTCAAGGGGGAGGCTAGTAAAGCATTTGCTTTAGGCCCCCTAAATTTTGGGGCCCCAAAAATTTATTTAATTGTGGATTTACTATCTTATTTTTCACTTAGACAATATTGAAGTCTATAGAAAAATGAAAAAGAAAATACAAATTTCTAACTTTGAATTAAGATACTCAAATCTTCATATTGATAAATAACATATTTTACAATAAAATTCAAGGTAACGAATTATAAATAAGTGGCTAACATCTTATTAACTTGAATTTTCTTACCAATGTGAATATTAATATTATATTTTATAAGATAACTACACTATAGATAAAAAAAAAGAAAAAAAAAAAGAAATCAATATAATATTAATACTATGTTTTACAAGATAACTATACTATAGACCAAAAACAAATATGGCCCCTTATCAAAATTTGGCTTTAGGCCACGAATTTTATTAAGACGCCTTTGCTACTTAGTAATTTGCTGAACTTTGATCGATTGTCAAAATTGGATGTGGTATAGTACATATAACTTCCATCTCACTTTAAGTGGTTTAATTCGTTTTTAGCTGCCAATTTAAGTAATTTGAAAACTGATAATTGTCCTCAGTCCTTCAAAGTTTCATCCGAAAATAGTAGGGACTTACTAAATTAGAAAGGATTACGATCAACCAACTAACGTTCTATTCTTAGAAAACAAAATACATTACGAATAAATTGATAGTCAAATTTCATTATTCGAGCAGACCAGATCAACGGATTGATATTTCAGATCAACTTTTGCTGTGGTTGACCTGAATAATGTTGACAAATTGTGCCAAATACAAAGAAATTTCTTCTTTCATATAAAATTCACTAGTTGCAGGAGGCCCGTGCTAAGCCCGAGCCCAAACTCAAGATAGTTTTTTTTAGAATTTATAACTTTATTTTAATTAAATAAGTTTAATTTGTATCATATATTTTTACTGCATAAATAGTTTAATATAGTGACACGTCAATGAATTCTTGTTGATCGGTCTTCATAATTATTAAAGTTTCTTAGTGTCACGCCCAGTTCGCCCTTCGTGAACTATCGTGACGACACCTAGTCTCTACGACTAGGTAAGTCTAACAAATGC